AAAAAAAAAAAAAAAAAAAAAAGAAAACAACACCAGTCACACTACTGGAAAAGAATAATTACTTAGAGTATGGGGTGATGACCCAGGACATTTAAGATATGTTTTTTTATCTGAAGGAACAGTAAGAGGCCCTTTTGAAAAATGTCCTGAGAAAGCTGAGGTGAATGTGGGGCATACCTCACGTGCTCACCATATCAAGGATTGTGGCTTTCATTGACTGTTATCCATCTAATGCCACAGAGTAAAGGGAAGGCAGTGGGGAGAGGGAGAGGCAGGGGTACTATGAGAAGAAATAAACCTTTCCCCCTTACATTTCTGTTCCTAATAAACTCCTGATAAAGCCACTCATGAGATAACCAAGAGCTAATGAAATGCAAGCTTACCTGGATATGGCACTCTGCCCTTTGTTACCAGTTCTGTCTGTAGAATTCCAAATGACCAGACATCAGACTTTATTGTAAACCGACCATACAGTGCAGCTTCAGGAGCGGTCCATTTGATTGGAAATTTTGCACCTAAAATAATATTGATAATCTTAATTGTTTTTTTAAAAAATCTATTTGTGTAAACATAGCATAGGCAGGGCTAATCCTGTCAATATCTCTACTGTAGTTATCAGTGTCAATTCTTTAAAGGTACAAGATACATGGGGAAAAAAAAATTCCTTAATTTAAAAAATTTAAATTGAAACAAAATCACATTTCTTCCTGATAAGATAGCTGATGATATAAAAAATAAGTTGTGGAGACAGAAAACAATTTGAGAAAACAGGTTGAAGCTCTAGTAAGCCAAAAATATGGATTATAAAATGTGTAACTTTTAAGTATAATCTGGCACCTAATAGCTGTAGCTAACTATTGGTTGACGAGTGAATATTCTATTGAGTTCTAATGTCTACTGATTTTCAACTATAATTTCTTTCCTACTTTATATATCTTTCTGGAAAATTTTACTATACTATCATTTTTTTTAAAGTCCATGTTAATTTACTCAAACATTTCGTGCATGTCTTTTCTGTGGAAGGCATTATGCTAATCATTATGGAAACCTAAAAAGCACAGCTTTCATTATAAGACACCTATAATCTTATCTCCACAATAAATTCATAAGCTTATTGTAGAAACACATATAAATAAGCTATTGTGGAAAAGAGATTATAGGTGTCTTGCCAAACAGAAGATCAAGTTTCCTTGGCACAATCACAATACGTTTCATTTAAAAAGTGGCAACTGGTTGGGCATGGTAGCTCATGCCTGTAATCCCAGCACCTGGGGAGGCTGAGGCAGGTGGATCACCTAAAGTCAGGCGTTCAAGCCCAGACTGGCTAACATGGTGAAACCCTGTCATTACAAAAATACAAAAATGAGTCAGGAATGATGGCAGGTGCCTATAATCCCAGTTACGTGGTAGGCTGACACAGGAGAATCACTTGGAACGCAGGAGGCGGAGGTAGCAGTGAGCCAAGATCACGCCACTGCACTCCAGCCTGGGAGGCAGAGGAGACTCCATCTCAAAAAAAAAAAAAGGGGGGGGGCGGGCAGCTACAACATCACTATTATCAGGAAAATGCGAATTAAAACCACAGTGAGATACCATCTTACTCGCAAGAATGCCCATAATAAAAAAGTCAAAAAAACAGTAGTTGTTGGTGTGGATGTGGTAAAAAGGGAACATTTTTGGACTGATGGTAGGAATGTAAATTAGTGCAGCCACTATGGAAAATAGTATGGAAACTCATTAAATAACTAGAAGTAGAACTACCATTCAATCCAGCAATTCCACTACTGGGTATCTTCCCAAAGGAAAAGAAATCAGCTGGGTGCAGTGGCTCATGCCTGTAATCCCTGAGCTTTGGGAGGCTGAGGTGGGTGGATCACCTGAGGTCAGGAATTTGAGACCAGCCCGGCCAACATGGTGAAACCCCATCTCTACTAAAATACAAAAATTAGCCAGGTCCGGTGGTAGGTGCCTGTAATACCAGCTACTCGGGCTGAGGCAGGAGATTACTTGAACCTGGGAGGTAGAGGCTGTAATGAGCTGAGATCGTACCACTGCACTCCTGGCTGGGCGACAGATCGAGACTCTGTCTCAGGAAAAAAAATCATTATATGAAGATATGTGCACACACATTTGTAGCAGCAGAATTTGCAATTGTAGATATGGAACCAACCTAAATAACCATCCACCAATGAGTGGATTAAAAAAAGTGTGGCAGATATACACCATGGACTACTACTCAGCCATAAAAAGGAATAAAATAATGTCTTTTGCAGAAACTCAGACGAAGCTGGAGTCCATTATTCTAAGTGAAGTAACTCAGGAATGGAAAACCAAATATCATATGGTTTCACTTAAAAGTGGAGTTAAGCTATGAAGAAAAAAGGCATAAGAATAATATAATGGACTTTGGGGAGTCAGGGGGAAAGGGTGGGGGGTGAGAAGTAAAAGACTACATATTGGAGGTGAAACCCCATCTCTACTAAAAATACAAAAATTAGCTGGGTGTGATGGCGCGAACCTGTAATCCCAGCTACTTGGGAGGCTGAGGCAGGAGAATCGCTTGACGTTGGGAGGCAGATGTTTCAGCGCCAAGATCACGCCACTGCACTCCAGCCTGGGCGACAGAGCAAGACTCTATCTCAAAAAAACAAACAAACAAAATACTACATATTGGGTACAGTGAACAATGCTTGGGTGATGGGTCCACCAAAATCTCAGAAATCACCACTAAAGAACGAATCCATGTGACCAAACACCACCTGTTGCCCAAAAACTATTGGAAAAAAAAAAAAAAAAAAAAAAAAAAAAAAAAAAAAAAAAAAAACAAAAAAAGAAAAAAAAAAAAAAAAAAAAAAAAAAAAAAAAAAAAAAAAAGTGGCAGCTAAATTAAGCCTTAAAGAATGGTTAGGGTTTTCACATGTAAAGATTACAGGCTGTGCATGGTGTCTGATGCCTATACTCTTAGCACTTTGGGAAGCCAAAACAGGAGGATTGCTTGGGTCAGAAGTTTGAGACCAGCTTGGGCAAACAAGGGAAAATTTCATCTCTCCAAAAAACACAAAGAATGGCCGGGTGTGGTGGCTCACGCCTGTAATCCTAGCACTTTGGGAGGCTGAGGCAGACGGATCACGAGGTAAAGAGATTGAGACCATCCTGGCCAACATGGTGAAACCCCATCTCTAATAAAATACAAAAATTAGCTGGGCACGGTGGTGTACGCCTGTAATCCCAGCTGCTCAGGAGGCTGAGGCAGGAAAATTGTTCGAACCTGCCAGGAGGCGGAGGTTGCAATGAGCTGAGATCATGCTACGGCACTCCTGCCTGGTGAAAGAGCGAGACTTTGTCTCCAAAAAAAAAAAAAAAAGAATTAGCCTGTCTCTATCTCGGTACCACTACCACTTTGGACCTGATAATTCTGTGCTGTGGAGGATCTTGCCTGCACATTTCTGTACACTGTAGGAAGTTCAGCAGTATGCCTGGCCTCTACCCATTAGATGTCAGCAGTATTCCCTAGGTTGTAACCACCAAAAATGTCTCTAGATATTGTCAGATGTCCCCTGGTGAGTGGCGGTACAGGGCAATATCTCCTCTGATTGAGAACCTCTGGCCTTAGGCAATAGTTCAATGATTCATAAAGTTTGTTAGGAAAAAAATTAAAACATGTCTGTTGGCATGTCAAAAGAAGTGTAAAGAGGCTACTACTTACTATATGTCTAATGCAAAGGATACTATAGTCAAATTATTTCTTGGAGGAAATAACTATCAGAAAGCCATAGTGGTATTTATTGCACATGATTTTATTCATAAAATCAATGACTCTATGACTCTTCTGAGGGAACCTAGAATGATTCTTATTCTAGAAAACCCTGTATATTCAAAAGAGTTACGTAACAAAAACATGGAACACGACATTACAAGCTTTTATGTAAAAGCAATTTTACCTTGTCTTGCTGTGTATTCATTGTCTTCAATTAACCTTGCTAAGCCAAAATCCGCTATTTTGCACACAAGATTTTCACCTACAAGAATATTAGCAGCCCGAAGATCTCGGTGAATATAGTTCATTCTTTCAATATATGCCATACCATCAGCAATCTTGGAAAGGGAAAAACAAAAAACACAAAACATATGATACAAAGGGAAATAGAGAGAAGACAATTACGGTTAATATCAAATTGTGTCACTGAAAATCATATATCTCAAAAGGTGATGATGGAAACAGGGCACAGTCTAGAAGATACTGGGAAAATCAGAAAACATAATACAAATGCAGGTTAAGGGTGGGCGCGGTGGCTCACGCCTGTAATCCTAGCACTTTGGGAGGCCAAGGTGGGTGGATCATGATGTCAAGAGATCGAGACCATCCTGGCCAACATGGTGAAACCCCGTCTCTACTAAAAATACAAAAATTAGCTGGGCGTGGTGGCATGTGCCTATAGTCCCAGCTCGGGAGGCTGAGGCAGAAGAACTGCTTGAACCCAGGAGGCAGAGGTTGCAGTGAGCCGAGATCGTGCCACTGCACTCCAGCCTGGTGCCTGGCAATAGAGATTGTCTCAAAAAAAAAAAAAAAAAAAAAAAAAAAAAAAAAAAAAAAAAAATGCAGGTTAAATTCAGATTTCAAAAATCTAACACTGGCTGGGTGTGGTGGCTCACACTAATAATCCCAGCGCTTTGGGAGGTTGAGGTGGGCAGATCACTTGAGGTCAGGAGTTCAAGACCAGCCTGATCAACATGGCAAAATCCCGTCTCTACTAAAAATACAAACATTAGCTGGGCATGGTGGTGGTGCATACCTGTACTCCCAGCTACTCAGGACGCTGAGGCGAGAGAATTGCTTGAACCCAGGAGACAGAGGTTGCAGTGAGCCGAGATTGCGCCACTGCACTCCATCCTGGGCAACAGAAGAAGACTGGGTCTCAAAAAAAAAAAAAAAGAAAAAAGAAAAAAAAAATCTGACATTACTTTAAAGAGCAAGATTAACCCTCCTAGTATATCTAGTCACCATTAGCAACATAATATCCTAATGTCCTTTGAGTTAGTGGTTAGAAGAAGAGATAAATCACAAGGTTATTTAGTGCCTCTGGACACAAGCTCATCAAGGTCCCTATGAAGCACAATCTAAGATGACCAACACAATGTAAGATGTGGCCTGCATTCTGTTTTTGCATGGCCAGAGAACTAAAAATGGTTTTTACATTTTACTGATTGACTGAGATGGGGGTTTCACTCTGTCACCCAGGCTGGAGTGTAGGGGTGCAATCTACTGCAACCTCCATCTCCTAAGCTCAAACAATTTTCCCACCAGCTGGGACTTCGGGCATGTGCCACCATGACCAGCTAATGTTTGTATTTTTTTTTTTTTTGGTAGAGATAGAGTCTCACCATGATGCCCAGGCCCCAAAAAGTGCTGAGATTACAGGCATGAGCCATCTAGCACAGCCTGGTTTTTACATTTTTAAAGGGTTGTAAAAAGAAAAAAGTATGACAGATTGGATGTGGCTCACAAAACCCAAAACTTTTTTTTTTTTATAACAAAAATGGATTGCCAACCTCCCCTACCATAGAGTGTCTAACTTAGAGGCATGAACCAGCCTGGCATATGCCTGTCGTCTATGTATAGTTTCTCAGTATACAATTTCTCTAAATTGTCAGATTCTGTGGACATTTGGATGCTAAGAGGTTAGATTCCAAAACCAGCATGTCAACCAAAGCCAATAATAAGGCCTCTCAAATACCTACCACGTATCTGAAGAGAAACTTTTAATAGTTTTCACTGTTTATTTATTTATTTTTTTATTTTATTTTATTTTATTTTTTGGGACGGAGTTTCGCTCTTGTTACCCAGGCTGGAGTGCAATGGCGCGATCTC